GTTGTCCCGGGCGCAGCGCGGCAGCCCCGCGAGCATCGCTGCGGTCAAGGTCACGGCGTGTCCTCAGGCCGGGCCGGAGCCTCGGGAGGCACCAGGAACACTGACCGGGACATCGACACGGAGGGAATGTCTTCTGTAGCTTTCTCTAAATGGGGCCAATTCCTGCTTTTCCTGCTTTCCTCATAAGCTTTTCCCTGGCCGTCATGTTTGCTCCTCAGATGTTGCCTAAGGAACTCTACCTTTTCTTGTTAAGGTTTTTCTTACCTTCTGTAAAGAAGGGAAATTTATGATCATAGCCTTTTTTTTAGTAACTTTCAATTTCATCATTTACAAGCCACTTAATCCATTCAACATGTTTACATTATCAGTGGTGGGTGTGTTGCCAACCATTTGCTTGCTTTTCATGATTTTTAGTGTTTTTCCCTGGTAAAACTGCAAGGCAACCTCAGTTGATTTCTTTTGCAGTTGTTTTTATCTTCCAAACACATAATTTGGCCTTTTGTCTTTTCTTATTTGAAGTGGAACAGATACTTAGTTGAAAATAAATTTTTATTTTCGAGATTAAGGTAATTTAGCTCATTTTCAATTGGAAACAGAGGAGCTGCCTTTGTGATTTGGGGGGATTTTATGTATGAGGGAGTTTTATGGTTGTTTGGTTTTAGTTTTGTTTTTGTTGGGTTCTGAAGAGTTATTTTTAAAATATGTATGTCTACATAGCTTTGGAAAGAAGGATGTCCTCATAGAGTACACCCCAATTTCTTAGGTTAAAAATCCTACTCACCTAGATTATTGAAGGGATCAGGTAAAACCTTATTCTCAGCTTTCTGTGAAGCTCCAGGATGGTAGACCAAGATATACATTTATGATACATAGTAGCATTACTATATAGTTTGAGGAATGCATCCTTGTAATCTGTACATACACTGGTAAAATCAGGGTGCTACATCCAAGCAGCTAAGCTCATTCTACAGAAGATTTTCTCTGTTTGGCCCCACACCAAGGTTCTTCCAAAGTCTTAATAATTGTTTTGTACTCTTCACCTTTTTACCAAGCAAGATGCACTCTTCAAGTTTCATGCTTAAAACTAATACAAGTTTTGTTGTCTTTTGCCACACCTTGTCATTCAAAATGTAAATACCTAAACCTATAACCATTTGAGGATTTTAACATGATGTTGACGTCAAATAAACAAATTAGAAGCATGGTGGTTTTTAGAAAGGCATTTAGGCTAAAATACACTGCTCCTTGCATGAACTTACTATTGACAGAGCTGGGATGAAAATGACAACAAGTGGGCCCAGCAGTAATCCCAGTTTAACACTGAATTGGGGCAGGAGGATGGCAGCCTGTGACAATATACACTAACCGTACCTTCATTGTCCTGCACTAAGAGTTCAAGGCAAGGATTTTACACGATCTGACCTTGAGTCTAAGGGCCAGTTGGGAAGAATAAATGTGTTTAGCGATGTTATTTATGAACATTACCATGTGTCTCCCTTCTCTGTGCAAAGATTCAGGTTTTTGGTTCTTTTGATATGGTTCAGGCCAATATTTTCCATTTATATTTTGTAAGTAAAATACAAGAAGACTTTGAATACTTTTTAATACACAGCAGTGGTAGAAGAAATTGATTGTTACACTCAGGGAAGTTTATCTCAACATTCCCAAAGCTCTGGGGCGCTTTAAGGTCCCAGGCTCCAGCAGGGCTGTGCATCCTGCCAGCACATCCAGCACCCGTGTCTGCGCGTGCTAGCCATTCCCAGGCCCTTTGTCTCCTCGCCTCGATGATACTGCTGCCATGGTGAAAAACAGAGAGAAAGAACAACAGGATATTGTCCCGTTCTGGTCTGCGTGCCAACTGTGACAAAATGTTGTTTTCTCCTTGGTTCGGACATTCTTGTTGGCTTTTACTTGTCTTGGGCGAGCCTGAAAACGTTAAGATGTTTTTAAAATTCTTTTAGTTAGAGTGGAAGTCTTGAGTCTCTGGGAGTAAGGTGGTGTCCCATGCCCTGGCACAAACATTCCTGTCCTGGGGGATGATTCTCTGAGTCATGCAGAGGAAAAGAAGCGTTCTGATGTAAAAGACAACAGGAAGGCGCTCAGCACGCTGTGTGCCAGCAGGACACCTGCAGAGCTGCCGCAGGGGTGGAAGTGAGCCACAGGCTGCATGGGGAGTGCTGAGAAAACTGCACGGCTGCACAAATCTGACGCCAAACCAAGGCTCTATTTTTGGTCTCCGCTTTGCGTTTCTGACACCTGTAGGGACGCGTGAAGTGCTCAAGAGACTTGTGCAGCACCTCCCGGAGCGGTGGAGCCGCCGCAGGGCATGGGAGCGCAGCGGAGCGTTCTTGCTTAGCCAACAGGACTAATTATAACCCAGGAATATGAACTGTAAATGTGCTGAAGCTGCCAAGTCGGGAGCTGGGTGTGTGCCAGCGCTCGAATGAGGACGCACCATCCTGTCAGGACTCTCCGGGAGCGGCAGGCAGCACCGAGGTACGCACGGAGCCCCACGGAGGGAGATGGACACATGGGGGTACCGCAGGAGGACGGTAGGAGTTCAGCTCTTGCTTTGGGATGGGCATGGTGTCGTATCGGGCAGTCTCATTTCCAAATAGGTGATCTCTGCGCGGTGACACACTTAAGAAAATCTTAGCTTTGATGTGGTCTCATTAGCATGCAACAAAACCAAAAAATCTGCTACTAATGTGAAGTGCTGGTAAAAGCTTTGACTTCTGCATGTTTCTATGGTTGTGTGGACCACTGTCCCTTCCGGTGGTGAACACCATTGTGAGAGGATGAGGTGAAAAATGAGGCAGATAATGAGTTGTATTAAAACCACCTAGGACAAGCAGGAATAATACAAGACATTCTGCAGAAATGTATCCTACAGACTACTTAAAACAAAGGAGCAGACATAAGAAATGCTTTGAAAGATAAATCACAGAAATTTAAAAAATCTGCTTGAAGTGAGACATGTTAGAAAACCACAAAGGTGAAAGAAATAGATGTGCTAATTACATAATTGTGGAACTACATAAGAAATGCCTATGAAGGAGGAAACTCATGCTGGTTGGTTGTGAAAGCTTTAATGGAGGCGCAGAACGACTGAATTGATTAAACTATACTGTTTAACTTCTGTTAAGCTGTAAGCTTTAAAAAAATAACAAAAGTTTATTTAAATTGACATGTGATATTGTTTTAATAATATGGGGTATGAAAAAGTTGATATCAAAGGCTATTGTATAACCCAAGGATTGCTTTAAAGGAAGACACATTTAAAAAAAAAAAAAAAAAGTCAGTAACTACTAAAAGTTGGGCTGTCTCCTGCCTTCACTGTACTTCGTGATTTTCCTGGTTGTGTCTCCAGGTCAGGATTGCTAGGTTAATATTTTTATACATTCTGGGAAGCTCTAGGCTCTGATGAATGGTTTCCTTTGCTGGTATGCAAAGCTCTTCTTTTCTCTTTTAAGGGCTATTTGGAGTTGTAGAAGGCTCTTTGCTTTGAGCTTTTCCCTATCTAAGTAGAGTAACTGTATCATATGTAAGGCCTCAGTTTGTAAATGTTAACAGGTCAATATGTTCAAAGCTGTTTTTTTTAAAAAGAGTAAATAAAACATAAGTATTGGTTAGCTTTGCCTACAATCAGATCACAGATTGTTAAACAAGACTTGACTTAATTCTATCATTTTTTTTTATTACATTTCTATAAAGAACTTCCTATACTCCCTGTGAGTAAATACACAGAATTCTTAACCCTGATTTTTGACTTGAACATAGTAATTTTAAATTAATGTCTCTCTCCTCTACAGGTATGTTTAAGAATGTAACAATCTTGGTTTAATCTTAGGAACTGCCTATTTCTCAGTAACTGTTACAAAACTTTGATATATTTTAATATAAATTTAAATATTCATCTCTTTGCAGGTATACTTATCAGTTACATTTTGTGATCTCTGCCAGTGAACCTGCACAAGCAATTCCTTTCTAAGCTCACTCTAGGAACTGCATCTTGATCCTTGAACTGCTCAAACTCCCAGAGAATTATATTTAACAAGAACTTATTACCTACTGAGAAATATAATGACTGAGTTCCTGGTTTGTTTTAATTGGTGCAATGGTGAACAGCCCCCACCGGTAGGTAGATGCATAGCTGCCACCCTTTATCAGATTTTCAATTTTGTTTTCCAGTTACACAGGAAACATTATCTTGTTGGTTTGATTAGTTTGGGCAAAGAAATGCAAAAGCTAAAACCATTCCTGTTAAGCTATGCTTGAACTGTGTGTTCTTTGCCAGAAACTTAGACAGTATTATTTGTAGTTCTCAGACCCTGACTTTCCAACAGTAAATAAAGCTTTTGCTAGAATTCAATTAGCAGTAATGAAAGTGACTTTTGTTGTGTCTTACTGCAAACAGTCTGAAACTTCAGCCCACTTGCCATGAGGTGTCATTAGGGTCAGTCCTGGCTATCTATTTTTATCTTGGCCACTTGTTTCTGGCTGAAAGCTGCTGATGTTTTCTGAATAGAGACCTAAGATATCTTTTTTCCTCACAGAAGAGGCGTCGGAGGCTGGACCGGAATATGATAGGAGAGCCAATGAACTTTGTACACACCGCACATGTTGGGGCCAGAGACATGAGTAGCGACTATTCCTCGGTAAGTGTGCACCTCTGGGAAAGCACACATCTCCCTGCAGTGATAAATATAAATACTAGATATACTATACTATATATATATATAATACTATAATAAAATACTAGATAATTGTAAGAGAGAGAAAAATCTTGAAGGTTGGGCTTTTTTTAATCAATAGTGTAGCATCAGAACAGAACTATCTTTTGGTTTGTAAATATGAGATACTGTGGGAGATACACTGAGCAGGAAGTGCTCATCTCCCCAGTATCTTTACACATGATGAGAACCTTTTGGATACAGATTCTATGGATGCACTTGATACTAGAACTAAATCACCCTGAAGTCAAAGCTGTGCCAGGTTGAGGGATGTAAGAATAAGTGGATTTTGTATAGCAAAATGCGTCTCAAACACTGACTTAAAATTGTATTTGACAGTCCTGGATTTTGTTATTATTTCTCCTTATTATAGTTGGGACTCAGCACTGTAAACATATGGCCCATCTACTCTTTCAAATCCATGCCTTTAATAATTGCTCTGGTAACCAGAATTTATAAGTTGTGTGTTCTAATAAGCATTTTTCCCTAGGCTGTGTCAATTCAGGACCACATGAAGTCTAAAGGTGGCTACACAAATGGCACTTCTGCAACTGTTGAAATATAGGAAACTGAGAGAAGGCTGACATCTGCTCTGTCTTATGAGGATCCCCTGGACTGTGTTTTCATATTCTCTAAAACCTTGTTATCATGGAGTAGGGAGAGTACCTAAATTAAAAATAGGTCAGTATAAGCTTTGGTGTTCTTTGTACAATATCTTCTGAAGGAGTTATTGTAAATTGTCCTTAAAATGGTCAGTCATGATAGTGTTGTAGTAGCAACTGTAATTTGTCACTGTGGATGACTTCCTAGCTCTGCCCCAAAAAGCCTCTCAAAGCTGTCATATAAAATGGAATTGCAAGTCAGTATGAATTGCCTGGGATTTTGGCATCTGTCTTTTTCTCCTTGCAGGAAATGCAGAGGAGATTTAATTGGAAGATATCACATGATTTCACTTCTTACATGGGCTAAACTGACTTGCTAAGTATGACCTTGTAGCTGCCAGATAACTTTGGACCTGTTTTTTAGATGCTTTACAACCTAATGCATAAATTTTTGGTATTTTTTTAATGCTTTTTGATAGTGAATGAACTCTAATGTAGGATAGTTAGCTGAGTCTGCAAAACATGGTGAAACTTCTGCCTTGCCAAGATAACACTTCTTTATCTAAAAATGTAGCTTTTGCCAACGTTTTGACTCTCAAATGAGGCTGAGAACAAGACATGTGCCCCTCAGCGACCAGGCTGCCTCCCATCTGTGCACACACACTGCTGTGACTGGCAGATATTACTGCAACACAGCTAATTGTACCTACCAGTTAACTTCTAGTGGTGCTACAATATGCTCACAACTGTGTGTTAGTTTTGCATGACTACCATTGAATTTTAAACTAAACATATTTAAGATCTCTCCTTTGTTACCTTTCTATAACGTTAGCCACACAGGACTTCAAGGGATATCTTGCTTGTCCTTCTGGCTCCTTAATTTAAAGACTGCCTGTTTTATATGAAATTAATCTTTTCTTGCATGTGGTGTAAGTGATACAGCCATGTGAAGGACACGCATTTAAGGAATATTGTGAAAAGTTGCAGGAGAGTATTAAATAGAAACAGCATTTTGCAGAGTTCCAGCACTTCATAAATATTTAAATAAACAGACATAAATACTTAGACATGCTCAAACTACAGTTTATTACTTAGTTCTTATTCATCTTTCTATTAAGTGACGTGACAAAACTGCTGAAGCAGAACTAGGTTTTTCTCTTACCCAATCACTGACAATTGTTCCCCAGCTCAAAATTCTGTATGACTACCACTGCAGAAACAGGAAATCTGCTTGCTCTCTTGGGATTAACTAATTACAAGTGTTTAAAGTGCTGCCATATCAGCACAAGTTATGCTGGAAGTCAGCAAACTGTCCTTGCTCTAGGGAAAAGATCAGTTATGAACATTTTTCCATTTAAAAAAATTTATAGCTGGAAAATCTTTTAACTTGTATGATTCTGTTTGTAGTTGTCATACTTCTTAAATCTAGGCTGCTGGCTTTGCTGAATATTGTTAGGCTGCCTTTTCTGAATATACTAGGGTACTTAAAACATGAATGGTAGCTCTGTGTTTCTGTATATGTTTTAAAAAACAGCTTTTCTCCTCCCCCATGTTTTATCTTTTAGGTTCAAAAAGGGAGTATTGCTTTCTGTAATGGTCAACAGCTGATCATAACATTCTGAAACCACATAAGAGAAACCTAATATCCATGTCTTGCTAGATCCTTACTCTTCAATTAGAATGCACACCAAATTTTAATATATTTTAAAATTAGCATAATTAACTATACATTTAGCTTTTGCAAGTCTTTTACATTTCTGTCTTTTAACTTCAGATATACTCTAACAACCTAGTTAAGATACAGAGTTTAGAAAAGCTAGATCCTATATAGTGTTGAGAAAGCAAAAAGTGGCCAAGGTGTTCGAAAGAATAGATTCTAATTCATCTGCTTTTATATGGAGCTAATGCATTCAGTCATCTGTACCTGCCCAGAAAAAAGGGTGATAGGGCAGTTGTCATGAAGAAAATGGGCTGTGTTTTGTTAACACTGTAAGAAAACACATTGAAGAAAAGTTAGGGTTTCTTAGAGACCCATTCAGTAGATTTAAAATTAGTGGTATAACTAGAAATAAAGGAATTGGTGAATATTTCAGTTCTTCTCTCTAAAGATAAATGAACAGAAAATTTGTTATTAAACACTTATTTAGAAAAAAATCCTAGTTTTGATCATGTAAACTGAGAAGCATTATCTGGTGTG